GGCAGTATTGGACACAACTCCGAATAGCGAAATCCTTGGTGGCTTTTCTACTGCGACTCCTCTTACGCCCTAAAGAAGATATCATCTGAAGTATGCATTCGCTCACATGCTGCAGTTTACTTTTCCAATGCTCATACTTACATCGTTCTTCTGAACCAGCAGAAAACCGAAAAGCATACCACGTCTGCCACCATCTCGACTGGCAAGGATAATGTATTATCATTCCAAGCTGTCAACCGCACGTCCTCCTTGGACTTTTCACACGAGATACACCCTACACAGACTGCACCGCGCGGAAGGACGCTGGTACTTGCTTCATCGGAAGCTCTTATCTCTGCTTTCATGTTCTTCCATTACAGAGACCCAGCTGCGCTGATCGATTGGGCGATCGCACAACAGGCCTTTAATGGATGCATGATCCTTCTCTTGGATGCATTAGAATGCCGGACTATTACCACTGGTGCATTCAAAGCGGAACAGGCCTTCGTTGTCTTCAAGGACCTATACGAGAACAGCGTCCACGAGCTTGCAGGGTTGGCTGTGGAAAAGCTCAGTCTTTGCTTGCAGGAGTTACACAGGCTGGTAACACTGCCGTCCGACGTCCAATCGCGTGGACAGAGGCATACGGCTATGCAAGGGGCGCGACACAGTGAAGCAACACGAGCTTCGGCTGCGACTGACACAGTCATGGGTCACACTGGAATGTTTCTACTCGAGGACATGAGCCAACAAACTGCCGCGAACGAAGTCTTTTCCCCGATGGCTTGGAACAATCCCAATATCGCCACCCAGACCGAAGAACATCATCATGCAGGACTACATCGCGGGGCTGCATACAAGAAAGAAGCAACATCACCCAGCGATCATGTCGCCAACGCTCGATACACAGACGGCATGCAGGGCTTGCGCAGATCGACCACGTTGCGATCAGCGTCCACACGATACGCGACTCTGTCTGAGGACGATCACATGCAGCCACATGGTTACACTGCTCCAACCTCGCCTGCAGACTTTTCAATGCTGCATGATCATCAGCTGAAGAATACGATAGATCATCGTAGGTGGCAAGCGTCCCGAGGAGATGAGAGCAGCCGTTCGCTTCACTTATATACCCAATTCCAGAAAGTCGCAACATCAGAAGACTCGCAGAACGACATGGTTTGGCATCATGAATGGAGTCATGATGTATCGGGCGGGATCCAGGAGCGCAGGCCCCAATCCTCCGCATGGCCACAAAGGCATAACTCATGTCCCGCAGTGCCTCCAGTCAACGCTCATCCGCCGATTCTCAGACCAGCTTTCTCCTCACCAGATGATATCGACCGGCCCACAATGATGCGAGGGTCACGAAACATGCCCATCACCTCAGCCGAGCTTACAAACTTTCAACACATCGCATAGTTTCCCCCGAGTTACCGAGGCGGAACCGTACACCCCCTTCACTCCTCGCCGCGTAGCACCGTTACAAATGACAAGCATTGCTGAGGCCACACCGGGCTTTTCGCCGACCGTTCTAGGAGGGTTCTATGGAGAGCAAGGGCAGATTAGATCACAAGTCGTGATATATCCGTCAACTATCGCTGCGTCGTCATCACTCACGCCTATGACAGAGAACATGAGCATGAACGACTGGAACAGATACACGGGTAGCGAAGGCCTTGACTAGGGAAGCATCTGACTGGTACAAAACTGCGTTGACTAGATTGCGAAGGGTTCACTTGCTGATGGAATGTATATTTGGTATCGGACATGAAATGAAGCAATTCGGTTTTACATCACCGCTAGTCAGAGTGAAAGATGTCTCTCTGCATTAGTTGCACATATCCCAACGCCTGGTCCAGCATCTCATCATGTGCACCAGTATACACGATTGCCTCACCAAGACTGTTGGCATTGTCCTCCAATTGCATCCATTTCCTTCTTCAAGCCTAGCAGCTTACCCGGAATCTCGGTTCAGATGGCATCTCAACGCGAAGCCACTTGGAATTATTTGTCAGAAGCTACCCAACAATCTGGGTTGGGTGGCTGTTGCTAATGTTCCTTGGTAGCCGCGCGAGGCTGGATGTACGACTGGTTGGCATGATCCACCGCAATGGTCGTGTGTGAGAAGTCTGGCTCACATAATTAAGATGCCAGTTTGTGTGTGAGAGGATGATCCCGTGCACCGTGGACCCGTTACGCCACGCGCCGCCACGGCTCTACCTGACATCCACACACATCCACAGCCATACATTTTCCCGTCTCCATTCCGCCAATCACAAAACAACCCATCCTCGCATACAACAACATGGTGCCCATGTGTTGGCACGCAATCCCGATAGTCTGGAGTGACAGGCTGTCGGAACACGTCTTCAGGATCGAGGGCCCCAGAGCCGGAACCGCAGTCTCGATATCGGTGAGGTACGCGCGAATGCTACGTCGCACAGCAGCCCACCAGCCGACAGCCACACGCAGCAAAGCGCTCAACGCCGATGATTGCACATGCTGCAGGGCGCCGTCGATAATGTCGCCGATCTCCACTGCTTCGAGCTGCGAAGGCGAGTATGCTGTTCCGAGCATTAGACTTGCAGTCATGCTGATCGACGGAGGAGTTGCTCTGGGGCCAGATTCGCGAACTGCGGTGGCGTGGAGTCATGACTCGAGTCTACACGTGCAACGTTGAGCCTCACTCTTTGGTGATCTGCGTTGTGCGCGTGGATGCTGGGATGTGTTGGTGTGGACACCTCGTGGTTTGCGCTGATCTTTTGGTGGTGGCGGGTGGGAAACGCTTTTCTCAGCTTCCGTCGGGTGTTCGCAATTCCAACGCAGCGCAACGCAATCGCGTCGTCATAGAATGTAATGCAATTTTTGCTGCGGGAGTGGTGTCTACCGGGATGTCTGCACGCGCTGACAGTACGCCTCTTGGACTGCTTTTTTTCCCTTCTGCATTCCACTTGCACTGGTCGGTCCGGAAGCGGTAATCCATACATGGACGCGGGGAAAAGTCGCCGTGTCTTGCCAATGTCTACGTACGATGCTAAGACATGCTTGCATGATCGTGGATTTCGTAGTGTTTCTCCATGTCGGCTGGTCGGTGTAGGTCATGTTGAAGCGGGAGTAGTAAAGTAGCACGGCGTTTGTGTGCTGATATGGCCTGATGACTGCATAGTTTATGTGCAGATAACTAGCTAATGTAGCCAAGACCCTTTCACGATTATGCACGCGCAAAATCTGGTACACGGGTGCGAATGTCGCTAGTATATGTGAGTCTGAACACATACGATACCTCAAGATAACGTGGTGGGTAATAGCGTAGGCTCAAGTCTGAGTTGAATCGGTAGCTTCCTTCCACTGACCCACAGCAACTGGAAGCAAAACCAAGTACACCGCCTACAATGAAGTCGTAGTATTGTTTTTCGAAACTGTGAGGTATGCCTTAAAAGACAGTGTTGAGCATCACGAATGCAATTCGATATTACAGTAGTCCTCAAGCGCTGAGTAAGTCGGTCCTCACTTCCTTGCGTTCCAAAGACTGTACGTGGAAACTGTGTCGCATTCCCAGGTAACAAAGAGAGATAGAGTACCCTGATATACCCAAGCTACAAAGCAGTCACAGTACAGACGCGAAAAGTTTGTGGGTGCATGCCGCTCAACGAGACATAAAGGAGATGGATGGGTTGCCGTTCACCCTGAATGTTTTGGCAAGGCTGAGCTGCTGCCTAATCGTCGCAAGAACGCGGGAAAGATCGGAGTAAGCACGACACCTGATGTTGTTAGTCGGCTGTCCGACAGTGCCGATGGGACTTCTCCTCGTCAAAGAGAATGTTTATAAACTCATGTTTTATCGTGATAATGATGGTAGTTAGAGTGCGCACGTCCGATCCAATTTGCCCGTAAGATAGAATACCACGGCACACCTCTTGGCCGAGTGTACATCACAGAGTCATCATATCATATACAGCTATGAGCACAGAAGAGCATGGAACTACCACTCACGAAGAAGATACCCGCGAATGTCGATACCCCTTGGGAGATGATACTGCAGACACACTGACGCTTCCCGACGGGCGCAAGCTGGGTTACGCACAGTACGGGTCGCCCACCGGCCATACCATCTTTTATCACCACGGACTTCCAGGGTCGCGCATCGAAGCAGCTTCGTACAAGCATATCGCTCTCGAGCTAGGCTTACGGATAATCGCGGTCGATAGACCTGGAATCGGCTTGAGCACGCCACATCCCCAACGAACATTGTTGGATTGTCCAAGAGACCTACGATGTCTCGTCGACCATCTACAACTCGAGAGCTACTCCGTACTGGGTGCATCTGGAGGAGGATCCTACACTCTTGCGTGCGCAGCAGCACTTCCTGCGTCGCAGCTTAAATGCGTATCCGTTGTATGTGGGGTCGGACCAATGGACATCGGCATGAAGGGAGCAGACATCTTGCACCAGCTTGGCATTCCGTACGGATGGAAGTACGCGCCTGCCTTCCTCACGAAGTGGTTCTTAAGCCGCGATGCTTTTGGGCGCATGGATCTGAGCGACGAGGAGCGTTTCCAACGTGTACTTGACCCCTCAAACCTCGCCTCAATCAAGGACCCAAGGGACCGCGAGCTCATGGCAGATGAGGATCTCGTTCGACTGATGTTACGATCAACTCGTGAGGCGAGAGCGCAGGGGTTCGATGGCATAGCGGTCGACGGGAAGGTGATCTGTAGTGATTGGGGGTTCCGAGTTGAGGATATCAGGAAGGATCTGCCGGTGCAGCTGTGGTATGGCAAGGATGACTGTTTCGTGCCTGCCAATCATGGAGTGCAGATTGCAGCGAGACTGGGTAGTGACAACGAGAACGTTGTTTTGAGGGTGGAGGATGCTACACATTCGACGATATCGCAGAGGTGGAAGAGGGCGCAGCTTGAAGCGATGGCCGCCGTGATGCAAGGGTGAAGATGCCAAGCCCATGCTGCCTCGGATGATACCATTCTAGCCTTGCACCTCCGATTATCACGAATCTTCACTCAATCATCAACACCAAGTTCTTCGTCCCGGACGTTCCAACCCGTCCTTCGCACTAAACTCGCTCGTCCGCCTTGCTTGCCATTTCTCCTCTCTTTCACTTGTGTACCTTCAATCTTCCGTTTCTCCGCCGCATTCTCTTCTTTTGGCTTCATGAGCCCGTAGTGCTCGAGCCATGATCTTGCATACTCCCAAAGATCGGTGGCCACTGCCCAAGGCCTTCTCCCGTACACCAATCCGAGTGCGACCACTACGCAAACGGGTATGCCGATAGCCCAAAGATGCCAGAACTTTGGTCGCCCTGGGCGGAAGTCGTCGCCCATGCTGAAGATGCCGGCAAGCAGGGTGAGCGGGAAGACGATGGACGCAAACAAGCTGAGACGAAGGCCGAACTCGCCGTCTGAGACCCCTCTGAATGCCGCGCGAAGGTTGGCGAGATCGTTTGACACCGAATTCAAGGCTTCTGCACGATCGCGCAAAGGCTGCATCCTTGTGTGTATCGTAAGGAAGTCTTTTTGCGCGTCTCGGATCGCCAGGGATGCATTCGCGTCGACACTTTCGCAGCCCAATTGCACGCCTAGACGTTCAAGGTTGAGATACATTGCACGCCAGAAGTGATTCAAGTGTCGACGCATGTAGTTGATGTCTTTGGCGATCTCGTTGATCTTCAGTAGGTCTGCCTTCCATTTCTGTTTACTCAAGTTGTCGTCGATCTGGGCTTGATAGTCATCGGAGAACCATTCACCCCTGGCGATTGTCGTGTTCATGAGCTCAAGTTGGTTGACCCAGTGTTGGGCAACATGTTTCAGGAGGTAGTATGCTGCGTTGGACGATTTCTCGTTCGTTTCCTGGATCAACTCAGGAGTAGCAAGCTTGGTCCAGTAGAACACCATCTCATCCATGGCACTGGTAAGATTCCGCTTCTCCCGGAAAACTGGAAAGTTCACCTCTTTTGTCCCCAAACCGACTTCGGAGAACATCAATGGGGCCAATGTGGAACATCCATTATGGTACGGCCAGCTCTGATGTGAAGTTGCTCGGAGGGCATGGGACGCGCCCCAGTCTTGTGCTCGCCAGAGTGCTGACCTGCTGTCAAACGGCTCTTCGGCTTGTAGAATCAAGCAGTCATCCAAGGTTTTTCGGGTATTGCTATCGAGTTTGATATGGCCCACCATTTCACATTTGCTCCCTGCCTTCCCCGCCCCCGATGAATCATCAGCGAACTTTGTCGATGGTTCTTTGCATGTCGCAGCAAAGGCAGGGTCAACCAAAAGAACCGCTAGAGCCAGCAAGAGTCAGTCACAGTTCAGGAGCCAGGATTGACATGAGAAGCTGAGAAGCTGAGAAGCTTACCATCCCATCCCAAACCATCTGTCTTCCCGTCCGGCAGAAAATTCTGCGACGTCCAGAACGACGCACACCGTCTTACGAAAGCATGCCTTCGGTCAGGCTTGCCTAACGAAGGTATGTCGATATCCTTCCACCTTTCGTACCTCCGGCGATTCACAGCAAACGAGGTCTGCAAGCTCAGAACGTCTATCTTATCGGGATAGAGCAAAGTGCGCAGCTCGTAATAGCGCAAAGTAAATGACTGCCCAGGCACTGACATCGATGGCAATCCTCTATGTGGGATGGACCAGGAGTCCGTGAAATTCCAAGTATTCATCTGCTCGCTGAAGACCAGAGGGTCGACGCCTAGATGGTGGCCCAGTGCATCCACATAGTCCGGTTCCATATCTTCAAGGATGAAGAGCCGCTTGTGTCTCTCCTCACGACTCTTATTGGCTGGCTTCTTCTTGAGGTACTCTCGGAGCGCAGCAGCACTCTCAAAGCCACCTTTTTCCACCTCCACGACGCTTTTGGCCTTGAACTCCAAGCAATAGCATCGGCCCGGCGTACGTTGGTGCTCTTTCTCGTAGTGTTGCCTGACAGCCTTACGGCCGGCTTCCCCCTCATTTGCTAGCTTTTCCAAGAAGGACTTGAGCGCTGGAAATGCATCCTCCAGCGTGTCGAGACATTGCAGATAAGGCTTTCCTTCGAAACGGGGAGAAGGACTGGTACGTTGTCCATTTTGTGCCAACGAGTGGGTCATCATGATAGGATCTTTGGAGAAATCCATCTTGATAGCCGGACAATGATACAATGGGAGCTGACAAATACTTGTAGCGGGCCAAAAGAGAAGGCTGAGATGGAGGACTTGCGCGATCAGCTCCTTTTCTTGACCGGATGCTGACAGGATATAAAGGCGCAGTTAAGCGCTGCGTTCGAATCCCCTCGCGCATGGTGGCTTGCATACCAGTCCCCATGGATTGGATACACTGTTTAAATTATTCGATTACGTCGCTGTTCTCAGCAAGATTTCGGTCTTGCGGCTGAGCATGCTGCGCCCACTGTGGCTGCCTCAGCTGATAACCCCGCATAAACCCAGCCGCCCTTCCACATAGTACCGGAAGCAACGATGCTCTTCATCGACCTCGATCTATTTTTCATAACCCCCTTTTCTCCAGCTCAAGTCAAATCTCAAGTGGTCTATCATGGCGACTTCAACTTCAATTTCGCCGTCAGGTACCCCGGCGGATGACCCAATCTCGCAGCCGCAGAGTATAGCACAGCCTTCTCCCACCGATTTTTTCGAACATAAACCACTCGATCATTCGCAGCCTTCTATAAGGCTGCTAAAGATATCACCAACGCTGTCAGCTGAAGGCCTTATCCGATGTTCCATATCACATACGACCATAGACCATGCGCCCTATCGTTGCTTATCCTACGCGTGGGGCGAACCTGAACCGAAGCAACTTATATTGATGAACGGAAAACATTTTCACGTCCAACCGAATCTCTTCGAATTCCTGAAGATAATTAGAGCGGACACCGAACGTACGACTCACCAATACTGGATAGACGCTATTTGTATCGACCAAAAGAACACGGCCGAACGCAATCACCAAGTCATGTAGATGGGGAGGATATACTCTGGAGCTGAAGAGGTCATCGCTTGGCTCGGAATCGCGTCACAAGAGACAGTTTTACATTATCATGAGAATCTACAGTCACCAGACAATCGTTACTATCATTTCTACGGACGAGAGACTGTGTACGAAGACTTCGCCCATAACCGATATTGGACCCGAGCATGGATTACACGGGAGCTCATACTAGCACGTCGCATCAAAGTTGCAATCGGAACACTCACGTTGACAATTGAGAGGCTTCGGGAGATGCTTCTGTCTAGCCGATCCTTTGGGGCTCGAAGTGAAGAGATCGGCGAGATTATGGCGCTGGATAGTCAAAGACGGAATGCTGTTGGCGAACCTTTAGCAAGCCTTTTGTTGCGATTTCGTGACAAGAGATGCAGCGTCGCCAGAGACAGAATCTTTTCACTACTGGCATTATGCTCCGAATCAGCTGGAATCGAGGTCGATTACGCTTGCTCGATCTTTGAACTAGTGAACTCGATCATGAAGTGCAGTGAGCATACTCTTTGTGCATGCTCCACTGCCGCTATTATGCAAAGCCTCGCGCCTGACATACATGAACTCATGAGCAAAGATGAGTTTAGTCCTCAGCGGGGTCCGTACATAGAGATTGACACGAGTGGGAAACATTGGAACCGTACTGGGTAGCGAGAGGGTTGTAGAGTCCTTAGCCACATCTGTTTCCACGCTTTCGCTGAAGCTGATATGGGATTATCACTTGGTGCGACCTCATTTGGATCACTGCTTGTCATGACGCCTTCAACACCGCCCGCGCTAGGACAAAGAAGCAGAAGGTCTTCTGTGAGACAATCTCCTGGGATTAGCTTTGCCTCGATCGGCCAAGGATTTGGAAGAATACGGGTATCTCTTTGGTACCTTTACCAGAACTACGGCTGGCAGCTTCTGCGAAGAAGTGAACTAAAGCTTTGTTCGAGGTCATGGACTGATGATGGATCCGGGACTTCAGTCCGCGCGGGTTATGGGAATTGGGACCTCAACGCACCCGAATCGCTGCTAGAAGAACCAGGTACCAAATAACAAATGTTACCCCGCGGTTTACAGTAATGACATGGAGACGAATGCTTCTGCATAATATCCTTGTCAATAAGCGTATTAAGATCATTTCACCACGTTATCTCACACCACACGGCCAAGAATAGTGACAACTCTGGAGACCAGACTATCGCTTTAATGTGAACCCTTGCAAACACACTTGCTCACTCCAAGCTTTTAAGGATAGCAGGCAAAACCTCCACCTCCGTGAAATCCCAAATCGTGCTCGAACTCCCCGAAGCCCAATTCGCGCCCGTCCAAAACGTATTTGTCATACCTTGCAGAGCCACAAAACGCTTGTAAAAGCCATTCTTGATCTCGTCGACTGAGACGCTCAACGCGAAAGGAGAATGGTTATTGCTAGCCTTTATCGTCGTAGATTGATTGGCAGGGGGCAGATCAAGTGCATCGCGAATCCTCTGGACCGTGGCGAGAATATCGGAGGTGAAGTAATTGTCCGAGGCTTCCGTGGGAGTGGAGTATTGCACCGAATAGAGGTTGTCAATTTCGGCGGTGAAATAATATGCGCCTGGGAGACCGGGGATGCCGAAGGCGGCCTGTGCGTCGTAGTTGTACATAGAGACGCCCTGGGGGAAACCGGTGTTGGCCACGACTGCATTCCAGTAACCGCTGCTGTTGAAGCGAGAGAAGATGTCTGTTTCTTCCGTGTTCAGGTCCAGAAACTGGTCGAGGAGGGCGACTTTTGGGGGGATGGTCATAAGAAGTTTCTTTGCGCGAATGGTTCGGGTGCCCGATGGGGTTTGGGCGACCAGGGTGACGCATGACGGGCTGCGTTTGATGGATTCGATATTGGCGCATTTCACGACAGAGCTATTGCCCATCCCGAGTGTTTGTTCTGCGGCATCCCAGAGCGCTTGCTGGTTGTGATTTGCTTGCGAGACTTTGGTCTTGTCCTTGCGCGCTGAGACTTGCATGGGATTGAAGAGCTTCATCACGTATAGGGTAGGTTGGGCCAGGATATTGCCCATGCCCTGGAACTGCAAAAAGCCATCATATGCCAGCGCGCCCAGATCGTATTTCCGCAAGAAGTCACCCCAGGGCATCAATAGGTCCTCTGGAACGGGATCGGGGAGGTGGTATCCACGGAAGAAGTCGTCTGGGTACTGTGTGAGAAGAGCCTGGTACTTATCCAGAGCTACAGCAGATGCGTTAGCGTCGACGACGGGCCATGAAGGCCCGACGACCGAATTCCGGAAGTCAACTGCCTTCGGTTGGCCACCAGGCTTGAAAGGAGCGAGAGGAATGTTGAGGGAGTCGAACAAGTGTCGAACGGTGGTGGTATTGACGAGGACTTGGGTGCCGTAATCGAAAGTCTCGCCGGTTGCCGTGTCCTTGTAAGTGTTGGTGTGTCCACCCAGCCGGCACTCTTTTTCAACGAGCGCAACCGATTTTCCAAACTGCTGCAGCCGGACAGCAGCATGAGTGCCACTGGAACCTCCACCGACCACGAGCACGTCGTAATCGTAATCGTTGGCAGCAGCCAAAGAAAGAAGACCGGACACCACGGTCAATAATCCTAGCCGCTGTAATTGTACCATCTTGACAGAGGTGTTGGGGGAAGAAAATGAGAGGGATGTGGTGCGGGAAAGAAAAGAGACGTGACTTTGGTACAAGCGATCCGAGGTCATAGATGAGGCGGACCGAAGACGGGACGACGGCGCTATTCATCTAGTTTCGGCGAATATGTTTGTCGCCTCTATGATGGCCTCGGGGTATACAACGAGAGAGCTAAATTCTAGGTTTGACTAATAGTCTTGTTACTACATCAGCGGCTGCTCTACTCACCGCTTCCTGATTTGTAGTCAACGCCTCCGCGAATGCGAATCCGCCTGGAGCTAACAAACCCCCATCAGTTTCTTGATGCCACATCAATAAGCAAAAACAATTAATCGAACAGCCTCATAGCTGAGTTGCAGATAAACAGAGCCAGCATTGGACGAGCGAGGGGCTCCAGGGGCGTTCGCACGCGTAGCCACGCCTGCTTTCTGGCTTACGCGTCGTCAGCTGGCTTCGAGTATACGAGAAAGAAAGCCTCGTCGGTACGGTTGTTCATCGAGGTGAAACCGCGGGTTGAAGCTGCCACCGAGGAAGCTGGAGACTAGGCGACGTGACGCGCTGAGACACGATGTTAGGAGTGGGTCGGGGATCGCTACTCGACTCGCCTTACCAGCCTCGTGGGGCTAGCCTTAAGACCCACTTCCATCACTCTAGTCCGGTGCCTGCAGGAAGTCGCAATAGACGCCACCGACGTCTTCTGGTAATCGCACTTGAACCACAGAGTGACGTTCCTGGCAATGCTTATTTATAATCACTCACCAGCTCGATGCAGGAAACATCAATTATTGAATCCTTACAACCACATGGAAATGAATGACTCCACGGAAACAGAAAGACCGAGGTTACGACGATGATCACCGTAGTAAACAAAGCCTCAGGTTGTTCCCACTATGGGGTTTGTTTTAGGTGTATTGAGTGTAGTAATACCGCTATGCCATATTCTTCTGTACTCCCATGTCAGGAACGGAAGAGTGAGTCTATTAATGCAGACACTTGCAGCCAAGGATAATGCCTATGATGATAAAGAGGGATAGGGGTATACCAAAAACGCCGATGAAAAAGTCCTAATCCCAAGAGTCTGCGGTGCGCCATGTGTATCTACCGACGGGATATGCAAAGGTCGATCATCAATATAACCACACAGCTACTCCTGCAACTGGTGCGTAGGGCAAGCACCCCGTCCTTTCTTATCCCACCACTCCTTGATACAAGTCTGAGATTAATGTTAGCACCGTACGTTCACACCGCACTGTAAAGGGGAAAGACATACCTCATGGAACTTGCACCAGCAAACCAACCTAGCCATCTTATCCCCAGACTCAAAATCTTCCAGACAGATCGTACACTCGGCCTGTCTGCCCTCTTCATCAACACAGTCCTTCTCAGTCGCGACGTAAGGAAACATGCCACGCGCAGCATGACTCATTCGATTTGCGTTACTGGCGCCTTCACCATTACCTGCACTGCTCATACCGCGGGTGCGTTGAGTGGGCAGGCTGGCAGATGTTTG